CAAAAGAAAAGCACAAAAAGGGTGATAAGCTTTGAGGAGCCTGCAAATACTACAAAAGGTGAATTTGCAGCACTTGCTCAGGCCTTTAACTAACCCCACCCCCTCCCCTCACCCCCCAGTTGCTCTTGGACTCTCTTACCTAGTGCAGCGGTTCTCAACCTGCGGGTCGCGACCCCTTTGGGGGTCGAACGACCCTTTCACAGAGGTCACCTAAGACCATCCATCGGAAAACACATATATAATTACATATTGTTTTAGTGATTAATCACTATGCTTTAATTATGTTCAATTTGTAACAATGAAAATACATCCTGCATATCAGATATTTACATTACGATGCATAACAGTAGCAAAATTACAGTTATGAAGTAGCAACGAAAATAATTTTATGGTTGGGGTCACCACAACATGAGGAACTGTATTAAAGGGTCGCAGCATTAGGAAGGTTGAGAACCACTGCCCTAGAGAAACTGCAGACCCAAACTATTACCAACGGATGTAATAATGAATTCTGAATTTCTCTACCAGTCTGACACCACAGTTTAAGGAAAACCAGAAGCTGTCCCCTGCCTTGTGGAGACTCTTAGCTCCTGCAGGAGCAGGTTCTGCTGCTGGATGTCTGTCGGCCGTGGGAGACTGGGTACCACTAAATGGAAAAGCTCAGGAGAACAGTGATGAAATGATGCTTAACACGGAGCTTTGCCCGAGTCCCTTCTAATTCAGGATATTAAACTCTTCGTCTGCATTTGCATTAAATTATTGAACTACTGTGGTTTCAATGTTAAGCAAACAAAGCAGGACTCTTCGAAGTTATACACACAGGACAAGAATGGTCACATTAAAATGCATAGCACAGGAAGCTGCTAACAGTAACATTGATTGCCTCTAAGAGGTGGGACAATCTGGAAGGTGATGATTTTCTGCTTATTGATGTTTATTTTGTATTTTCCAAAATTTCTAGAAGATGATACACTCAGTTTATAATAAGAAAATACAAACAAGTAGCCATCACAAACCCTGTGGCAGGGGCAAGTGCGATTAGAGCTGGAGCTCATTGCTTGGTGACCACAAGAGGAATGCGGCTCCACAGGATTCATTAACAGCTCCTCCTGTTTGATGGAACATAACATAAAGGAAATTCCAAAAAGACCAGTGCATTGCTCCTAAAGCACATCCTGACATAGCCTGAGCCAAAGGAAGAGATGACTTAGCACATGGGGGAAATGGCAGGAAAGAAAGACACTGACGTAATAAAAAAAAAAAAAAAAAAAAAAAAAAAGAGGGTAAATCTGAGTCCTGGCCATGGAACTCCACAAAGGGAGAAACAGGGAGGAGAATTCATATCAGATAAGCCTGGAGGAGACCAGAGGGGAGCAGAGTGGGCAACAGAATTCACAACCAGGGTCACCATAGCGGCCTTGGGCTGTTAGACTTCACCAGTGACGGGACTGGAACAACTGTGTAGTATGTGAAAGGCTCTGCCCGGTATGAAGTGGAGGGGCCCTCACATGGGAAAATGCAGTTGGCCCCACAGGCCACCTGCTATGTGTTGGGACGGAGGGATGCTTGATGGATGATGACAATACTCTTTTTATATGCTCAAAATGCCTTCACAGGTTCACATACAGACTTTCTAGAATGTCAATGACACCACACTTTAAGCTCCTAGGGCCAAACAACGTCAACGACCCTTTAAACACTCCCACTGTCCTCCCACACACAGAGAGCCACACCTATCACATACACACACTCCAACATTTACAGGGACAGTGCTAAAGAGTAGCTTGGGAGAGTTAGTTTTATCACCCTCCCTACTTTCCATCTATTCTTTGATATAGACATTTTCTCAATCATAGGCAAATGCAGCTTCAAGCCATCCTCTGCCCAACCCCATCGCCATCCCCAAGACACTCATTTGTAGAAATTCTTGTGTCTCCACTATGCCACCAGGAAGGTGTCAATATTTTTAACTCTTATTTAGTTTTATCTACCAAGGGGAAGAAAGCTGGTGTCCTGCCTGTTTAGTTCTGCCCGCCTGCGCCACTGCTCAGGTAGACAAGATGATCTTCCATGGGCGTCAGTAATCTTTAACTACCAAGTCGCATGTGATTCATTTCATTCTCCTCTACCATGACCCAGCATTTTTCCATAGTGAAAAATATACTCCGCCAACAAAACACGCAAATATTTTGCTATCTGCACTGTGAAGACCCTACTTCATTTTACATCAGGTAAATGACTCCTTAAAATGTAATTTTCACCCAGAACAATTCCCATGCCCTACATATTTTTCTTCTCCCAAATCTTTCAAAAGCTCTAAGTGGCCATTTTCAAGCGGTTTGCCATTCTCATCCCAAGTTCACAGCACTAATCAGATCCTATAACTGAACAACTTAGGGGTGACACTGAAAACTTTCTCGTTGCCTAGTGGTGCCTAGGAACTGATTTTGTTGTTTTCTGTATAGGAGACAGCCAACTTCAGAGCTAATCCTCCAGCTGTCATATGGGTGAAAGGGTCACACATTCTCCCAGAATGCCACTGGGCTCCTCTGGGCACTCATGCCCTGCCCAGCTGTCTTTGAGAAACTTGAAGTCCTGGGAAGAACAGAAGAATCTTGTCAGACAACTGGGTGGTTCTGACGTTGGAGCGTCATGGTAAAGCAGAGATGCCACCATCAGGGCACTCATGTGATGCTGGGCAGCAGGGCCTTCCATGACTTCGCAGAGGTGGGGCCTCCAAGGATCAGGGTAAGATGTTCTTTCTTCTCCCAGCCTGATGTTTTTAAAAAATTCCTAATCAGACAACTCCTTTAATAGGATTCACACTGCCAACCGTAACCTGTTTATGGATCCAGTAACCAAAATGTGTGAGTTGAAATTCCCCCAAACAAGAATCTGAGCCACTAGGTTGAGATGAGAAACAGACGTCAAAGGTGAGCAATGCTGTCCGTGTTTGACGCTCAGTGAGGCAATGCACAGTATCTAACTAGAGATATCTCCGCTCTCTAAACAAAATCAGTTTTGCCACTGGCTCCCCGTGTGATGATGACTTAAACCTTCCTGAGTCTCAAGGGTCTCATCTTTAAAGAGGTTGACATCTCTTTACTCTGAAAGTCTGGGAGACAAGGGCAAAACCTGGACAGAAGCCATGGGCTGCATACCTGCCCTATAATCGGTGACCCCGCCCTCACAGGCCTGCAGCTCATTAGCTTAAATCCCCCGCCTCCTCCGGAGCCCCACTCTCACCACCTCAGTTCAGCTCTTGTTTATCTATTGTCTCACCTAGAGCAATGGTTCCTGAGCAATCTCTGTGCCCCCAACCAGTGATTCTCAACCAGGGAGCATTTTGTTACTCAGGGGACATCTGGCAGTACATGGAGACATTTTTGGTTGTCAAGACTGGTGGGATGCTACTGGCATCTACTGGGTTGAAGCCAGGGGTACTGCTAAACATTGGACAATGCACCAGCCAGGCCTCAACAAAGAATTATCCAGCTCAAAAGGTCAACACTTCTGAGGTTGAAAAATTACTCCAGTCATACCCGCCTCTCATCTGCCCTCTGCCACCACAAGTGATACAAAACACAATTCCAATCAGGTCATTTCCATGCTTGAAATCCTCCAGTGCCCTCAGGTTAAAGTCTAAACTCTCCTGCAAGTCATGGAGAACATCATGATCTGGCCCTTTCCTAGCCTTCTGCCCCACCTGTCACTGTTCCCCTATTCCCTCTTCCCCAAGCCACACAAGCAACCAACACAGGTGGACCAGACCTCCCATAATTCCCTCTGCCTCTCAGTCTCACCCATTCATTCCTCTGCTCAACAATTCTATGTCAGACATTCTAATGGGACTAAAAGGGAACTGGAAAAACAAAAGCTTTAATGGTTAGAGTTTTGTTTGTTTTCCAGGAAAAGACTGACAAATTCTTTACACTTCAGTGTGAATTAATTGCTGCTATCTCTCCCCAAATCTATTTGCATCCAACTCTATTATGAACTGAAAAGTTTTCCCCATGAAATAATTCTTGATGTTAAGCTATAGGTAAAGGAGATCTTTTGGGGACACAGTGACCTGCTCTTTTGAAACTGCCCAGTATCCAGATTTTAAATGATGTGTCTCTCTCTCATATCAATGTTTCTCTCTCCCCCCCCCTCCACTCTCTCTAAAAATCAATGGAATAAAACTAACTCTCTCTCTCTCTCTCTCTCTCTCTCTCTCTCTCTCTCTCTCACACACACACACACACACACACACACACACACACACAATAAATAAATAACTCACTCCTCTAATTCTTTTTTATAAATGACATTAATAGGAGAAATTCGTCTCACCAGGTACCAGCAGCAAGCAAGTATGGTGAGATTCTTTCTGGAATTAAGTCTCTAAAGGCACAAAATAAGAGGCCTAGAAGCGCATATATGATGGTCTTTTAAAAATATAACAACTTTTGTGTTGAAGTAGATTCTACATATTTTAGCTTGCATCAAAGCTGCAGATAAGGACTTGTGGAAAAAGGAATAAATAGCTGGAGAAATATGGAAACAGAAAGGGGATAACCAGTGTGCAGATACTTATGATAAATCTTTATACCCACTAATGTAATTGTGATTATAGTCAAAAACTTCACACCCAATAGAGGTTTCGGCAATGATGACAATGTTCTGAGTCTGAACTGTCCAAGATGGTAGCCATTAGCCCCACGTGACTACTGAGCATTAGAAATCTAACTATCATGGCTGAGAAATTGAGTTTTTAATTTTAACTAATTTAAACTTAGTTTTAAATAGTTTTATACCGATAAAATCTCTCCAGGAGAAATTGAAAGAACTCTCAATACAATGCAGTCTTCCAGCTGTAAACAGCTCATCTACCAAAAGTAGTTTCTGACTCACTCCAACCCCCACACCAACCATTACCCAACGTACCCAGAGGTGGGCCTCGCTCCCTCCCCCAGGATAAGCCTGCAATGGTGGCCTCTGGAAAGATGCGTACTTACCCTCACCCATGGGAAGGTCCTCTTCCTGCTCGCTGGGGGAAGGCAGCAAGGGCTGCAGGGGCTCCATGTTAATAATGAGCTGTTTGTTCAAGGAGTGGGAACTGCGACTCTGGGAAATGTTGGTTCTGAAAACAGACAAGCCAGATAGAGTTGGTTTCCATTCAAACACCAGCCCCTCCATCCCAGTCGGCTATGCACATCCCAGCTGGGAACTGCCTCTGGACCCACAATGGGTTGGGCTAGTGAAAGATGTCATAACATTCAAGATGCATAGCCCTTTGGATCCTTAAGGCCTTGACAAAGTGTCCATGTGTCCTAATGTACTTCCTCATATGTCATCAGACTCGGGCATGCTAGACTAGGTGACAACACAGGCATTCCAAAAGATATGGGAGGCAGGTATCACTAGACTAGGCACAGAAAAGTGAATAAAGGGCATGGCTCAAACTAATTTAATAACCACAAAAAAAACCCCCCAAAAAAACAGGCAGATGTCACAGATGTTTCATAACTACAAGCTATTGTGTCGCTAGACGTGCAATGTTTAATATCAATGTTTAACATCCCCGTTCAAATTCCTGCCCCAGTCACCAGCCAGCCACAGAGCGCAGCTCTGCTTTCCTTTCTCCTTTTGAAAGGAGCACGCACCTGTGCCAGTGGCTGTGACAGGCAGATGGCAAGACAACCATGCAGGTGCCTCATCAAGACTACTGGCTGGAAGCTGGGAAGCCCATATGCACTGCCTGCTGCAGGGGACCTGCTGTCTAGCATGACAGAGAGGGAGGTAGGCACGTATGGTGGGTGCTTAAGCACCCTTCCTCTCCCCATGTTCCCTGTCAAAACCAAAACCAGCCCAGCCAGAGTGGCTCAGTGGTTGAGCATCCACCCATGAATCAGGAGGTCATGGTTGGATTCCCAGTCAGGGCACATGCCTGGGTTGTGGGCTCAGTCCCCAGTAGGGAGTGCAAGAAGCAGGTGATCAATGATACTCTCTCTACATTGATGTTTGTATCCCTGTCTCCCTCTTCCTTCCTCTCTCTGAAATCAGTAAAAAACAAAACAAAACAAAAAAACCCATCCTTCAAATATGATGTCAAATGTCTCCTTCCCCTTAATACCCTCTGGAATTGGCTTCACAACACACACTCTCTTTTTCCTTCTCTGCTCACTCGACTCTCCATTTTACAACTCGCCACGTTGGTCACCTCTGATGCTCTGTGATTATGGTTGTACTAATCAGAATGAGCCCCACCTTGATAAACAACTCAGGGCAGAGAGTGACATGTCCATTCTCGTCAGCCTTACAGCACCTTGATGGGCACCCTGAAGAGTGTTCAGGTTTGAAACGACTGCAATCCTGGCTCAACATAACTGCCATCTCAGACTGACCAGAGTATCCCAGGCCAGCTGATGGGACTGCCTGATACCTGGGCAGGTGTTTCCGTAGGGAGTGGGGGATGGGGCATCAGGGAAGATCAGGACCCAGCCAGGAGATGACACAGCCTTGCCTCACACACATCCTGCTTATTCATGTGACACTCAAGGTCAAGTCAAGCCAATGACTCTCCACAGAGCAAACAACTCAAAACGGAGCCCAGCTGTGTTCTCGCCACGGCCCAGCCAAGTCTGTCTGAGAGGGATTCCAGGGCAGTGAGAGTGCCATGCCTGGAACTAGGGCCAAAAAACAACATAGTGCCTGGCAGCAGTGCCCTTATACCCTTCTTGTCATTTGGCAAAGCCAGCATTTAAATCCCTCTGTCCATCCCAGAAGCCTCCAGAGCCCCAGGGAGCTCCCACTCACCTGTGCACCTCCGGAGGCTCCCTCTGGATTCTGGAACTCGCCTCCACCACCTCTTTGGCAACCTTGCCGCTGCAAAACACAAAAACACCCGTCTCTGCACAGGCGCTCGGCGTGGGAGGGGAGGGCTATGCACAAGCATTTTCTTTAAACTTCACAACTTCAACTGCCTGACCCAGCTCTAGGAGCCCACGCCTTCTCTCCCTCCATGCGGGGAAGTTACTATGAAGTTGCATGCAGAGTGCCCATGAGCATAAAAGATGGGTGAAATGGAAAGGGGGGACCAAAACAGGGGTGTAAGCCAAAGTGCACTGATTTATAAGCAAAAAATTCCAATGTCAATGCCTTCCCACAGCCCCATCATCAAAACAGAACCATAGGGACTCACCTGTATCGGAATCTACTTCCTTTAAAAAATATCTTGCTGCTGGACACAGTCTTGATCTGACTGGACTTGGCATACCTTTAAGAGAAAGCAAAGCAGTGGTAGTGACATTGGAAAGCCCGGCGGGACACAGTGTGAAGTGTAGGTATCAGATACTTGTGACTGCCAGAAAGAAATAAGCTTTATTGTGTGAGTCGGTGAGCACACACACAAACCTGAAAAAAAAGTTTCACAAAGGAACTGTCAACTCTCACAGTATTTGCAGTCTGATCTTTCCTATGTTCTCTCTTTCCATTCTTTTTAAATGTTGACGATGACACACACACACACACACACACACACACACACACACACACACATACACACATACACACACACACACATTCCTGCAGGACCCACCACCTCCCCAATTTAGCAGGACCTGACCTTAGGCTGTCTCTGTTAAAGATTTGGGTCTTTGTCCTCAGAACAATAGAAAACTATCCTTACAGTCTTTGGCCAAAAAGACCGTTCTCCCTCCACCTCTGCAGACAGGCTGAGCCAGTTTCAAAAGATGAAAGGGAGAGCAGGTGGACAGCAGAGGGGGCGCAGGCCTGAGGAGGGGGCTCCTGTCAAGGCAGAGCCCAGAGAACATGGAGTAGAAGCCCCAAGGACAGGTGAGACCACGTGAGAGCCACACCCCAGACTTTTGACACCTGGGACAGACCTGCTGTGCTGACTGCTGGCCAGAGCCAGGTGACAGCCCACACCTGGTAAAGAGGAGAAAAGTCCCCAGGAGGCTGGCTCAATGGAAAATACCCTACTGAGCCTCGTCCTCCTGCTCTGGGTCCCTCTGCCTCCTGCATCCCATCCCTAAAGAGGTGTTGGTGGCCTGGCATTTACCACGGGGCCTGAGAAAAGGGCCATCACCACCTCCCTCTCCCTATCTTCTCAGCAGGGTTGTTGCTCCCAAGTCCTCGTAAGTCAAAGGAATAGAAACTTGTAAAGAGAGTCTGGTTTTTTTTTCATTGATTTTGTTGTTGCTGTTAGTGTTTACTAGGTTCCTAAGGCGCTTAGTCTGCTAAAAAGATTAAGAGCCTTCACTGGAGTGTTTGAAATTCAAACTCAACTCTGTGCCCAGGTATAGAGGACATCGAAGCCCCCAGGTGTGGAGGGCACAGCAGCTCCAGTGACCCTGCTCTGGGGAGAGGTGGGCAGCCCTGGTCTCCACTGGTTCAGCCTCAGCTCCCACGGTTCCAGGCCCCTCAGGGAGGCCACTGCCTTCTCCCTACACCCAGACAGGTGGGAGGCCTCTGCGCTGCATGGAACATAAACCCTCGAAGTGCCTCGAGAAAACAGGTCAAAAGACACATTTCGCAGGGAAAGTGCATCCCTGTCTGAGCAGGATGAGAGGAGGGTGGAACGCGTTGGCCTTTTTCTGGCAGCTGGTGGCCCTGGGTGATTATTGGTGTCACTTGATTTGCTCAGAGACACTCTCCCAAGAGCACTACTGCCAACTCCCTGCCCCTCAAGTGCCCAGGTGGCTCCCGATAACATCTGGGTTGAGACCTTCCATGGAATTGTAACAGGGGAGTGTATCTGAGAGCTTGAGCAACATAAACTCCATGGGAGCTGGGAGACACAGACAGTAGGCTGGAAGGACGAGGATGTGGAAAGAGAAAGTCGGACATCCCAGACCTGGACGCTATCAGCAGCACCTGCTGGGAGGGATACAAACACTGGTCCTCAGCTCCATCACTACAGTCTCACTCAGCAGGTCAGGAGAGGGGCCGGCAGTTTGCATTGCTACCAAACACCCCAGGCCATGCAAAGGCTACCCACTGGCATTTAAGAACCTCTGAGTTAGGTGTTGTTTTACTTGAAAGAGCGAGGCCCAGCTTCCTACCTGCTTCTGGTCCTGTGACCTAAATCAAGCCAAGTTTTTCTGAGTCCCAGTTGCCCCCAAATATCTTTAAGGGGGAGGGTGTTGTAAACCTAATTCATAGAATTCTGAAGAGGATGAAATGAGATTAAATGAGTTGAAAGCACCTAGCGTACAACCTGCTCACTATACAGGGGTGGGCAAAGGTAGGTTTACAGTTGTGAGTGCACAAAACACAGTTTATTCTTGTATTATTTTCCATACAAACAACTGTAAACCTACTTTTGCCCCACCCTGTATAATAGTTTCTGTCCCTCTCTCCCTCCCCACCTCCCTCCCTGTCTCCCTAATATCACCCTCAAAACCCCTCCATTGCCTTCTCACTATGGAGCTACCAAAGCCAATTCTCAATCACAAGTTCCTGGAAACCGTGTCAAACACCCTGGACGCTAGTGAAAGCGCCTTCATGCTCTAACTCTAGCTGAGCTCTGCCTCCCAGGCTCTCACGTCAGCAAGCCCAGAGCCAAAGTTTTCTTCCCACCAAAGGCAATGAATGCACAACCGAGTTAAAGTAGCAATTCTCTCGCCTCCAGCCTTCTTCCCCACCTACCTTCTCCCACTTCCGCCTCCACCTTCCTGTGAAAACCTCAGCATAGAAGCACTGACTCTTCTCAAACATCTGACCTCACAGAGCAATCCAGACAGTCCCCATTTTACCTGACTTGACAACAACTGTGAGTTCAAATGGTGGCCTAGTCGTGACTTACCTTTCGGTTGTCACAGTTCTTCACCACCCCTGATCCAGGATCTGCCAGGGCAGCCACAAGACCCAGAGACCCATGGCACTAGGGGATTTGCCAGCCCAGCCCTGCCTTTGAACTGTGTTTTAAATGGTGTAATGGATGTGAGATGTGCCATGCATGCGGACAATGCCTGGAGCATGCAAAGTGTCAGCTAAGTGTTGGCATCATATGGTACACGCAGAGCAGCCCTGCAGGAGCACACTCCCCTCGCCCTGCTTCTAACTTTTCTCCTCTGGCACCTGCTGCTGCAGGGGCTGGGCATGGAGGTAGGTGCTTGGGAGACAATGGGTGGTGCCCTAAGAGGCCACCTCTAGAATTAATAATACAATTTTCCATTTTAACATGGTTTACAGCTTCTGGTGTAATCATAACAATAACGACATGTTATTATTGAGCACCTACTAAGGGCTGTGCCCCATCCAAAGCACCTTAAACATACTAATTCATTTTATGCCCACAGCTCTCTCCCAGGAGGAAGCAATCCACGTTTTTACATGAGGAAATTGAGGCACAGACGGGTTGTCACTTAACTATGGTCACATGACAGAAGCAGGAGCAACCAGGCTGCAATACCAAGTCTCCCTGTATTTTTTAAATAATGCTTTAGCCATGCAGATTCTCAGACCTCAAGGGGCATCAGAACCATCTGGCAGGCTTCATAAAACACAAATTTCTGATTCAATAAGCCTAAGTGAGCCCAGGAATGCATTTCTAACACGTTACACAGACCTGGAACTGGTGCAGGCACACTACTTTGAGAATCACTCCATTAGAACCCTTAACCCTAGATTGCAAGTTTGTACCATGTAGGAAATTTTTATCACTACCAATATCTAGACCCCCCTCAACCATTTCTGAATTTTTCAAAATAACAGCTTTATTGATATATAATTCACATACCTTTTAGATTGTACACTTCAGTGGTGTTCAGTGTAATTCACAAAGCTAAACACTCATCAAGAAATACATTCATCACCCCAAAAAGAACTGTCCCATAGCCATTGGCAATCACTTCCTGTTTCCCTTCCATGCCAGCACAGTGCACGGCACAAAGCAGATGATGATCTAAATGGAAACACCAGTGAGGGAGCCGCTGAACCCATCGGTGTGGCCCGTGTGCCCTCGGGGAACTAGCTCCCAGCCATGGCGAGCTCTGGTGCTCTGGGGGTGGAGCACCTAGAAAACACATGGCATAAAGGAAGCTCTGAAATGTGACTAAGTCTGTGTCAGGGATCCCGTGTGCTTTGAAGCAGGAGGGAAAGTCAGAGTTTCTGCTTCTGGGCTCTGTTCCCAGCAGCAGAGCTCAGAGCCAGGGCTTTCAAACCTCATCGGTGGCCCCTGGCCAGCTGACAAAGAGCAGCGCATTCATGAGGTGAAAGCACACTTGGGAATTCTTGGCCTCCGGGCCTCCCTCTTCCCATGGCAGGTGAAGTGGAAAGGAGGGACAAACACCCCAATCCAGGAAACAAGATCGGGGCCTTGCTCTGCCAGCCGAAAGTGGTAAACACAGTGCCAGTGGGGCAGGCTGGAAGAAGGGCCGGGACTTCTGCCCGGGAAGGGGATGGTGCTGTGGAGGAAGCAGGTGCCCTCCCTGAGGTTAACAGAATCAGAGACCTTCAGAATCAAACAGACTGGGCTCTGCAACCAACTGGCACTCCAGAAAGTTCCATTGCTAGTGGAGGGGGTAGTAGTGGCAGTCACAGCAGCTGCTATCATTTATTGATGGTTCATGTTGCCTGGAAGAACCAAACACTGCAAGGCAGGTGTTACTGATCACATTTCACAGATGAAAAATAAAGATGAGGCTCAAAGAGTTCAAGTGCTTTGCTCCAGACCACACTGCTAGGAAGTGACAGAGACAAGATTTAAAGCCAAGAAGCCCACACTCATTAACACCAGGCCACAGTGAGAGAAGCAAAGCATGCCTGAGTCCTGCCCCTCCAGTCTACAGATGAGAAGGCTAGGCCAGCGAGGTCACACAGCTGGCTCAGAATAAGCAACATCCTAAGGAACAGGTATGGTTAAGGAACAAAAGCTTCTGGGAAATCTCAGGTCAGTATAAATATTAGGGATTAGGAGACCTAGTAATTGAGAGGGGCAGCCTGGCCTAACACCAGCACAGGTGCTGATGCAAAGACTTGGTCAACTCTGCACAGTGCCACCGTGCTCAGCTACACTCCCGGCCACCTGAGGCATTCACAGACAACTGGAAGTGACTTCTCTGACATGCCTAGTTGGCCCATTCAATGACAGAATTATAAGACAGACCTCACTGCTTGATGCCAGCTAATGACTGTACCCCAACATGTGCAAAACAGATCCCCCAGATTGGAGTTTCTTCTCTCCTCTCCTTCTCTCCCTCTTCTCCATTCAGTTCTGGTTTTGCCTTTGACTCCATTTACTAACTGAATCCCTCACACAGGATAAAACAGCATGTGTGCAAAACAACCAATTAATGTCTTGAGTTATTCCTTGATAGAGATCCCATGATTACACCAAAGGATCTTCAAGGCCATGCTGCTTCCAAGTAGGACTTTCTGATTTGGCTCTAAAAGCCTGTCTGCTGGGGGTTCTTTGCTACTCCCTCCCCCTCCCTTACACTGGTCTGTGGGTCAGTAGCAATCAACCCCACCTAGCATTCCTCTGGCACCTCCTTCATGATGGCCAAGCCCTCTGTATCTGTCTCCAAGATCTCCTGGCCTTTCATCACCTCCCTTTCTATTTCATTCTACCCTCTGCTCCAGCCTTGTGTAACTGCTCATCTTCTCCATGTATGTCTTTCCCTTCCCACCATGCTCCCTTACTCAGAATGTCCTCCCTCCAACTTAAAGACCCTTCCTTCCAATTCCTAGCTCCCCCCACAGTGAGACTCACCCCTCCTGGACTGCCCTCTAGCATTTTATTTGCATTTCCTTTTTAGTCTGCATCATGAACTACAAATCTCCTGGCACAAGATCCATACCTTATCAACTTGATTCATTAATTCTTTTTTGAATGCTGGGGATCTTTAGGGAATATAAATATAAACAGGACCTAGTTCCTATCATCAGAGAGATCAGATCTAATACAGATATAAAATATACAAAAAATGTCATGATATATCTTTATTTTTTATCTTGTTTTGGCTGTGTTTCAAGACTATCTATTAACTCCCTCATCTGCAAGAAAATATCCATTCAAGAATAATTAACTAAATGTCTCTCAATTATTATTTGATAGGAACCAGATGATTTCATTAACAGATGAACAGAAGAGTTCCAAAAGCTTAGGCTCCAAAAACAATTTGTCAGGTTCTCAAAAAGTTAAATATAGAGTTACCCTATGACCCCAAAGTTACACTCTCAGGTATAAACCTAAGAGAACTGTCCACAGAAAAAAAATTACATGGATATTCATAGCAACATCATTCACAATACCTAAAAAGAGGGAACAACCCAAATGTCCATCAACTGATGAATGAATAAACAAAATGTGGTATATATAAACAATGGAGTATTATTCAGCCATAAGAAGAAATTAAGTATTGCTGCATGCTACAACATGTTTAAACCTTGAAAACATTATCTAAGTGAAAGAAGTTGGGCACAAAAGGCCATGTAAGTTTATAATTCCATGTATAGGGAAAGTGCAAAATAGGTAAGCCCATAGACATAGAAAGTAGATTAGTCGTAGCTAAGGTCTGGAGAGAGTTGGAGAAAGGGTGTGGCTGCAAATGAGTCAGGGTTTCTTTTAGGGTTGATAAAAATGTTCTGGAATTAGATAGTAGTGATAGTTATATCACTTCATGAATTAGATGAAAAACCACTGAATTATACTTTAAAAGGGTGTATTTCCTGGTATGTGTTATCTCAATTTTAAAATAACTTATTAAAAAACGTTTAGACTCCAACTAAAGACTGAGAGGACCAATCCTTTTGCATTTCCTTTTTCTCAGCTCTCATGTGGATGGAGGGGTCTAGACATGCTGATTTTTCAAAGGCCACTGGGTACCCATTTTATCCAGTCACCAAACACTGCAAGGAGCACACAGATGCCTTGAGGTGGAGATGATTGTGGGGGAAATCCACTGATCTTTATCACCACTCCCTGTCACTACTAGAAGCACCACATGTTGTGGATCGACTCACCCAAGGGTTTTCAAATTATGCTCAGGGTTTTCCCAGGATTGATGGGTTTCCTGGGATATGGGATTCTGTCTGCTGGGGGTTCTTTGCTACTCCCTCCCCCTCCCTTACACTGGTCTGTGGGTCAGTACCAATCAACCCCACCTAGCATTCCTCTGGCACCTCGTTCCTGATGGCTGAGCCCTCCGTATCTGGAAAAATCCCAGGCAAACTGGGACAACTGGTCACCCAAGCTCCTGAGAACGGCAAGAGATGGATGAATGGTTTCCTGTCCCCAATCTCAATTCTGGTCCCCACCAACAACCACAGCTTCTCTATTTTTATCTCTTTTATGTCCTGGACTTTGCCTACAGAGTTCTGTGGCTAAAAGGGGTTTGTAAATTATTATCCCAAGCTATCATTCTCTTAAAGATCTTCATTAGCCAAAGCCCAGAAGGTTCAGAGACTCAGCATTTTTCAGGGAAATGAGCCTAATGAGGAAGACAGAATCTCAGTGGTGGGGGCAGGGAGAGAGGCTGAGAAAAACCACCTGGGTGGGCTCCAGGAGTCGGTGGTGCTGATACTCTGGCATGCCGGACTAGGTTCTTGACTATATCGATAACCACTGCTCTTCCAATCAGTAAGTCTGTCTCAAAGAGGAGAAGCTGGAACTCAGTGGAAAGATCCTAAATTTGAACCTCTTTGGAAACCTGACAGCTTTATGCATGGTTTCTGAAGTCCTGTCCAGCCATCACTGCCTTTCTGTGATCCCAGACTCTGATGGCATTCCACCTATGAACCTTTGGCTCCCATCTCTATATACTCAAGGCTTCTAACTATGAACACATGAGACTCTCTGCCAAAGATTTCTCTTTCCAGTTGTGAGAGTACATTCAGTCCAAGCTGAGAGTAAGCCAGAAGTGCCAGAGAGTATAACTCCACCCTCTAAAGTGGCCCTTAACCAAAATGAATGAGGAATTGGTAGATAAACAGCCCAGCCTCTTTGCTGGTCAGTGGGTGAAATTTGAGGCCTGAAGTCTGCCAGAGCTCCCCTGCAGAGCAGAGCCCAGCTGCCCACAGAGTGACCTGCTCAATAGCGCCCATCTACATGGCTTGCTTTCCCACCTCCCTTGCCCACTCCCCAGTTGGTATGTTTAGTGACCATATCCCAGAAAAACCACTTGCACTAAACTCTTCTCAAGGTCTGTTTCTGAGCAAGAAAGCCAACCAAAAATAGGTCCTGTGACATGTTGAATGGAAATAGAAATGACAAAACAACAAGCAACCCACCGCAATTCTATGGGAAACACCCAACCTGGAGCTCAGGACTTGCTCGGGTCAACAGTGATAGGAGACACCCTGAACAATGCACCAAATTCATTACTCACTTAAATATAATAAAAAAGACTATATTAAAAGAAATGAACATGGAACTATTTGCAAAACATTAAGGGTTCCATGGGTGTTTTAAAGTCTATGATTAAATGAATAAAAGCTACTTACTTATAAAAGGCCTGGTTCTCCACCCCACACTTCCAGAGATGTTTGCAGGCAGCTGGTGTTGAGGTATGGAATGCCAACATGGTTTTTTTCTAATAAAAAATAACAAAACAAAAAAGGGCATGTTAAACACAGTTTATGTTTTTTATCTTTTTCTTTCAAGTAGCTTGTGTATCACTATGTTCTTAAAAGTGTTTTTGAAATGGTATTCTCCCTTTTGCAGACATCACTAATCTGACGAGGCCCTGTTTCTGATCAACAGCAGCCTCATAATCTTCAAGTCTCCAGGCATTTATCACTTCTCAATCCGACTTGGATTAGTTCAAAAATGTGTCTGCCCACCTTGAACAACTAGTGCTTGAACTGAAAACTAGGGTCAGGAGATTCTGCAGACCTCCAGATCTAGCTCTGAGGCTCAAAGTTTCAGTATCGGCCTCCTCCCAAATGTGTTCCCTGGTAAACACAACCTATGTCTGGTGACTCCTTTATTTTAAGATTCTTGGATCTTATAGACTTTGCTTATAAAACTCTAGCCATCACTGGTTGTTACAAGCTTCGTAAGTATTCAGTTGTCTCATGAATCTGTATTTTGGCAAATTACAGAGGTAGGGGGAAATCCAGTTGCTAAATCTCAAGTCTATCTCAGTCTATTTTTTACACAGGCGTACTCACTCAGCATGGTTTACTGACTTTATTCTTAAACTAGAGGCCCAGTGCACGAATTTGTGCACATTGAAAGGAAATTAATTAAAAGACATACTTTAATATCTCTATTCGCCCTTTCTCTATAATAGAAATGTCAACCAAATTCACAATCAACAATGACAGATCAAAACACATGCATGCAATTGGCGCCAAGAGCTTTATATGTATCACACATGTGTGAGTCAGCTTAGCCTTTTATAGATATAGAATAAACTTGCTTAATTAGATCTGCTTTCTGATTTAGCTAAACTTTTTCCACCCAGTGAAGTACCTCAACTTCCCTTTCAGGTAATTGTCAGCAACACAGCAATAAATATCACCACAAAGCAGATTTTTATTGTAGATCACGCAAGGAGAAAAAAAGGGTAAACTATTTAACTGCATTCGTGTTTGACTATATTCTGCACAGTGAGAAAACCTAAAGTCATTTTCAAGGTCCACCATTTCTTACTTCTTTTCAGTTGGGTCAAGTTTCTAAGCTTTCTAAATCTCCATTCTCCAGCTAATGAAAAGAAAATAGGATTCCACTGAGTCTCCTATCTACCTACTCCAGGACTTCTGTGAGGATCAAATGAGATGAGGCACAGGAAAATGCTTCACAGACATTTGGTTACAGAGTGTTTCCACCTAGCTATAAAGCAAGTCGTGTTCCTGGGCTGAAGAAACTGCAAGGAGGCTAGTCGCTAGGGAGAAAAGCTGGGCGTTGCTACGTGACATCATTATTCGGACTGTTGGACACTTAGCATATTAGCCTTTTATATATATAGATGTTCAAACCCAGTGTTTATTTGTTTACCTCTCAAATATTCTAAGCATATGGCTTCCATTATAACCACAAACTTTAAAGTCATGATCTTTGGGGGCTATAATGCCAAAGGCACATCTTATGCATGAATCTCTCTCATGGGCATGCACATGCACACTCACACTCACACAATAACAGAGTTAGAAAAGCAGTATCTGACCTCCTTCTGGGTGCCAATCACATAAAATGTCTTCCCTTCAAACTTCAATTTGCAGACATCTGGCCTAAGAAAAGAAAATCTCTTTGGGTGAGAAAGAAAATAAAGTGGCAACTGACGCAGGTACCCGGATTCCCACGGGAATGCAGCTGGCTCACAAATGCCAGGTAGACTGCACTGAAACAAGACAGTATCTGACCATCAGTGAAGGCCCAATGAGCAGGGAAAAGCCTCAAGAGAATTATACAGCAATGTTCTTCCCAAGAGAATATCCCCAGGCAGCTCAGAACTAGTTATTCCATTTTTTACAGGTGAGCTGCACCTTACTTCCAAGGAGCTCTCAAGGTCCCATAAACATGAATGACCCTAGCAACATGAAGGGGCCAGCCCACTGTGTGAGGCAGGAAGAATGTGGTTATTTCAGATTCAGTTAATAAAATAACATGGTTTCACAATATCTGTTCCCTCATCCATCTCAAAGAAGCACACACACCACACTGTGAAATTCTCATTCCTGTTCTCCCTGATTATAGAAGTGTATTTCATCATATATTGAGACGCTCAGAATTGGGAGGACAGTTTGATGAATGGGCATCTGAAAGAGCTGCTTGATTAAAATCTGCCTGAAATGTAGACCCCAGGTCACCTTCTTGGTGAGAAAATATGTGTGAAGAGAGGACTCTATTTTTATTCCTTTGATCTCATTCCTCAGATAGTGATGCGGGCCCCCCTGCTTTTCCTCGGGAGGGTGGGAGGGGGAGAACAGTGAGGGCACATTAAGTTGTTTTAATTTAGATAGAGGATTTTCAAGGGTGACAAAATGGATGTTTAAAAAACACACAAAGATTAAGAAAAGAAAATTTGTTTCAGTAACAATACATAGCTCTTAGAAATACACGTGCCTAGCAAAGGCTGGGAAGAATGAGGTTGGCATCAGTACCCACCAGGAGGTAGAACCCAGAAACAAATGATTGTCCTTCTCAACTCTTCAATGCAGAGGAAAAACTGAGGTCCAAACAAGGGAGAGACTTGCAATAAATCTGCACTTGAGATGTGTCCAGTTCTAACTCTAGAGCTCAAGCAATTCAAAACCTGCAAATCTAACATCCTAGGGTGGGATGGGAGAAGTCCCCAGATTACCCGTGCTCCCCAAAGTCGGTAGGGAACTTATTCTGGAACATTGTTGAAAGTATGAATTGAGTAAAAGACTAATACAGACAGGTCAAGGAAGATAATTAGAGAAATCGGGCATCTTAGAGAGGGTTGATCATGACAAAGAGCAGAAGGTGGAAGGAGAGGAGTGGGCATTAGCTGACTAATGCTAATCTAGCAGAGGTTTGAAAGAAAGGGGGTGTCAAGAGGAGAAGGTGGGGAGGGCTACTTTATAACGAGGTGCCAAAGGAAATCCTGAAGCCATAGAACCATGAACTGATGTTCAGGCAAGTGCAAGAGAGCATTTCCAACCCAGGACTGAGAACAGATGCCTGCTGGCCCATCAAGAAGAACTTCAGATTCAAGTGCTCAAGCCAAAGGAGTGAGCCTGCCACCCAGAGAGACACAGCAGGGGTGACACACTTGTCAGGGACCATCAGAGAGGGAACTGAATTGAGCTAAAGGTATTAACAAGACTAAACCTTTCCAATATTCCATCACACATATAATGTTCAGCCTTCTCCACTCTTCACCAGAACCATTTTGCTCTTTGACTGGACAGAGTAGGTGCTGCGGGTCACCCACCCCGCTCCATCCTTCCACTTCTTTATTGACATAACCTAGGCTTTATTCTTCCTCAAGGTCACGTGTCCATGCAGATCCTGCTCTTCCCAGTCCCAAGGGGGTGAATCAGGAGTTCCCATTCTTCTGGGAAGGATTGGTTTAAGTAGGCACATGCGACCCAATCCTGACCAATTGGATACACAAAAGTCTCCTACAGGACTTGGGAAAAGGTTATCCCTGCTTTAATAGCAGACACGTGGAAGGCTGCTCTCCTCCAGGCTTGGGTGCTGCTGTGTGAAGATGTAAAGGCCACAGTTGCACACATGACCATGCCATTTTATGAGCCTGGAGACAAAAGCTACCACCCTGTAATGGCAAAGAAGAAAATGGAAAGACCCAAGTCCTAAATAGTGTTGTTGGGCAGTTAAGTTAAAGGATCAAGGAACTGTCCGATCTCTGCAACTTACTATGTGAGCTAATCAGTCCTCCTATTTGTAAGCCATTGAGAGCAGCCATTACTGCTGCTCTGACCAAAAGCATCTTTACTGATACACTGGATAACAGAAAGTAAGTCTGCAGCAGGATTCAACAGAACAGAGGGAAGTGAATGGGAGTTGCTCAAAGGAACTTGAGCCTTTACCCACCCTGACCTACCTCCTGGTCAAAGCTCTGGTCAGTAAAGAAGCTACTGGTGCAGAAACAATAGACACCCTCTCTCTGGAGACAGAACCTCTGAACTCAGATACATCCCAGGTCCTCTGAGTGGACACCTCAGCTGGATAAATCTGATTCCCTCCTAAGACAGGGCAACCTAGATTGGGTTTCATTTATAGACAACAAATCCCTTTGTAATGAGGTTCCAAGGAAAATAAATGAATACCAGGTACTCTATCTGACATTTAAAAAAAAAAAATGTCAAAGGTGGTGAATAAAAACAAGATTAAGAAAAATGATAAGCCAGTTTTCCAAAGAAGCACTCACCATTTTATCAAATGGGTTCTCTTATTTCCCTGAAATACCACAAAGCCTGCAGCAGTGAATCCCAAAAATGTTGTTGTGCCTGTTGAATCCTGAAAAAAAAAAAAAAAAATATTTGGGTTGAGGAATATAAAATCTATATATATAAACCCCTAATATGCTAATAGACCAAATGGCAGAACAACCAAACAACCGAACAGCCAAACAACTGGTCACTATGACGTGAGCTGACCACCAGGGGGCACGCATGGAACATGGCGGGTATTGGCAGCAGGTGGCAAAGTGTGGAATATGGCAGTCATTGGCCGAGGTGGCGTGGTGGAGCAGGTGAGTGGGGGCGCCAGACCAAGGCAGGGAGCCGGTCCCTATCATTGGGGAGCCTCTGGTGGTTACTGAAAATTCTTTGCTCCCACACACCATGGTCCCACCTGGCTCTCGCACCTGCTGCTGGCACCAGGCTGGCTCGCATCCTCTGCTGGCGCCGGCCCCGATCGCTTGGTGCCATCAGCGGGTGTGAACGGCTGCGGCTGCTGGCCCTGATCACCCCTGAGGGCTTCTCCACCTCCTGCTGCTCTTGAGGGGCAATTGAGGCTGCAGCTGCCGCTCACACCCACTGAGAGTGCTGGCCACGCTCGCATCCACTGCTGGCGCCAGCCCCAATCATTCCACACTGTCAGCGGTCAGTGGTTGGGAACAGCAGTGGCAGGAGCAGGGCTGCCAGCAGACAGGGGACCAGGGGCCACAGCAGGAGGGGCTGGGCAGGGACGCAGAGGATGGGCCAAGACCCGCCCCTCCCTGTGCCCACTGCAACCTCGTGGCCCACAGTTCCTTTCGAGGTGCATGAATTCGTGTCCTGGGCCCCTAGTAAATGATAAGTGATATGCTTATTCATCCTCACCCTGGATTCATTTCAGGTAATTCTAATGATTATAAAAATAAACTGAGTTTCTGAGATGGGATTTCCAAGGCAACTACTTCTAAAATCTGGGTGAGGTCCAGGCATATGTAGCTTTTCCCTATAAGGAACAGACCCTCTGCCTCTGCAGGGACCTCCTGGGAAAGTACAGATGAGTCCTAAACCACTGTGTATCTACTTCCAAATGCCTTTTGGGGCCGCCTGAGTTCTCAGATCTTCCCTGTAATGTGGACAAACTGTTCTTGGTTGTCATTAGCCCTGAAACCAAAGATGCTATGAAACCAAAGCCCTGAGCATCTAATTGAGTTGATTCAATCCTACACAGGATTTCCGGCAATTTTAATATAAAGATATTTCCTACTTCGCTTCCAGTCTCTACCAGGAGAACTAAGCATTGATAAATAAAGGCAAAGGAACAACAACAAGTCTAGTCACTCTCCAAGTAATAAATAAACAGAGAGGCTAAGGTTTGTAGATAAAACCTAATTCACTAAATGGAATAATCTGATTTATACCACGACTAGGAAGGGGCATCTGGCAAATATCCTAAAATAACTGTGTGGGGAGACCACAAGATGCATGTGCCAGTGTGGACAACTACCACCGGCTCTTGGCCTCAGCTACATGCTGGAATCCTCTGGAGAGCCTGGTCTGCACCCCAAGAGATCCTGATGGAACCGGGCAGCAGGAGTTTAGGAGCTCTTCACCTGCCTTTCATGAGGAGCCTGAGCCTAGAGCTATAGGACTGGCACTTGACCAAATACAACTATCTGTTCCCATCTGAGTCAAGAAGTGTTCTGATAAGACTCAAAAATTACCTTCAAGAGCCTGGCAGACATAAATGCTTAGTTTAGGACTTGGGTTAGTGCCTGGTTAATGCACACTTAGTTTAACATATGGAAAGGAGAATGTTCTCATAAAACATTTCTGGAAAATGTGTGCAGGAGCATCACCTTGGGAACTTGTTTAAAAGGCTGATTTGCCAGCTACATCCCAGGGATTCTGCATCAGTAGCTCTGGGGTGGGCCCAGGTAATTCTGATACACTTGGTCTGGGTTTCATGCTTGAGAGAAAGACTGTGAAATAACAGGAGTAAAGGAAAAAGAAAAACAAATACTACTGATGTCAAAGTGTAATTGTAAATCTTTTCTTTCGCTTTCTTAATTTTTAAGATTGCATTCTTGCTGGCAATGGCCTTAAAAATAAATGTTAGGACCCATTTCTTTACCCAAATGGGACTGGATAGTAAGTCCTAAATGTTAGCACTTCTCAGGGGTAAAACCATCCACTTGATGGGTGAATGAATCCATGTATGTGAATTTAGGAATATGTGGCTGCTACATAGCAATTAGCAAAAAATTTGTTAGAGTCCAATGGTGAGAACCAACTACCAAAACATGTGACTGCAGCCCCCTGTTGGCCCTTCCAGTTAGGTGCTGTGGGTTAGGCTGTGGAAATATCCTCGGAGGGGTCTGCCAGACATACACAACAATTAACTCTTTTGGGGGAACATAATCTTTAAATATCAACCTGTGAGGGGCATTACCTTGCATGGGTGAGGATCCACCCCATAGGTTTCCAAAGTGTGAGCCTTCAGGAGTAAGTTAAATTCAGCAACCGGTGGGCTCTGGCCTCTAAAATCACACACACAAAAATTAGGGAGTTTAATATGTAAAGTAACAGAAACATGGAGTCACTTCATTCCATAAAATGTGATAGCCTAAACTAAGTAAAGAGCAAAATCCCTGCACAAATAATAATCAGTAAGACTGATCATCGTTCCTCACTGAGAGGAGCCCTCTGCCAAGGAATCTGAGCTCCTGTTCCCTGGCTGATGGCTCCATAATAAACTTGCAAGCACTCGGAGGACACCAGTGACTGTACACTTAATCAAGGTTATCAAGTTGCCAATAAGTAGGCCCTTGGAAATGCAATCTTAATATGAAATAAAACGCAGCATCTGTTCTTTCCAACTTACTTAAAAGGATTACCGGGGTAAGAGACATTCCTTCTTGCTCAGGGTAGAAAGTGACAATCCTGTCACCCCATCAACAAGCCTAAACAGAGCCATCTGCGTAAGAAAGAACCGTCAACCTTTCCACTGGAAAGCTCTGAGTTTTGAAAGGAAATCTCAGCCACTAGTCCCAGCACTGTCCTCCAGGGTGGTACACAAGGTCTTGGCCTCAAGGGTAGAAGAGGGCTACAAATAGAGATGCTGTGAAAAGCCCTCCTGGGGCTGACTTCCATACCAGGACTGTGCAGCATTTAAAGGCTCTTTGGCTGACATTAATGTCCCACGTGTATCTTAGAGCATCTGAACTATTCCCCAAGGGTGAATATATAACCCTAACCACCAAGAAGAATGAGTTACAGAGAACAACAGGGATTCATTTTTATTTTCAAAAGGTAAAACGTAGTGATATATATAAAGAACATTTATAAAAGCAAAAGGAGAGCATGAATAACCCCCAGTTCAGCAGAGAGTGCAAAATGGAGGGAAGTGACCTGGGAGGGACACAGAGGAGACTTCAAAGCGTTTGGTAACATTCCAATTCATAAGCAGAGTTAGGGTCATGGATATTTCTCCAACTATTCTTTAAATTATATATATATGACATACACTGTCTTGTATAGTCTTTTATGCATTATATATTTTGCAGTTATTAAAAGAAACAGCTCCTGGGTTTTAAGTAAAAGAATTACTGGATGAAATATTATGTAATCTAAAAGCACACTGAACTAAACAGAATTGATCAGGATTATAATAAATGTATGTGCAGAGCTGTCTTTCATTAAACCCTACTGATCCAGCCAACATATAATTGTTTCTATTACCAAGCAATATATCTTTTTCACCTACTATTTATAAAGGAGGAATTATTTTTTAAAAATATATTTTGTATTGATTTCAGAAAAGAAGAGAGAGGGAGATCAAGATAGAAACATCAATGATAAGAGAGAATCATTGATCGGAGGCCTCCTGCACACCCCCTACTGGGGAAAAAAACCCCCAATCCAGGCTTGTGGCCTGACCAGGAATCGAACCATGACTTCCTGGTTCATAGGTTGATGCCCTGGTCAGATGGGTCCGTTGGTTGGAGAATTGTCCCATACACCAAAAGGTTTGATTCCCTATCAAGACACATACCTAGGTTTCAGGTTAAATCCCCCAATCAGAGTATGGGAGGCAATCTCTCTCTCTCTCTCTCTCTCTCTCTCTCTCTCTCTCTCTCTCTCTCTCTCTCTCTCTCTCTCTCTCTCTCTCTCCTCCCCTCCCCCCTTCCCATGCCTTCCTCTTTCTCTAAAAATCAATGAAAACATATCCTCTGAGGAGGATTAAAAAATAGGATGGCCTTTCATTTTTCAATGGTTTAAAACAAATGAAGAATAGCATCTCATGACCCATGAAGACTTATATGGTATTCAAATTTCAGTGTCAATAAAGTTTTATTGAAATATGGCCACATCCATTCATTTACATACTGTCTAAGGGTGCTGTCATGCTATAATGGCAAAACTGAGTAGTGGCAACAGACACTATATGTCCTGCAAAACCTAAAATATTTACTAAATGGCCTAGAGCAAAAAAAGTTCGCTGAACCCTAATCTAGGAACTGAAGTTATGTCTCTTTGAGTCCATAAGATCAACATAGAAATAGAACCTACCTCCAAGATTTGGTAAAGATTAAGCCATTAACAGATATAACAGCTACAGTAGAGCCTGGCACAGAGCATCTGTTCTCCTCAGCCCTGCCATGAGTGATAGAAATATGACATTGGGGGAAATGTCAGGAAGCACGCTGAGATTTGCAAAACAAAGACCCCTCTTTAAAATAAAAGTCCTCAAATCATTATTGTTTGCTTTGGATTTGCCTGCAGATCTCCGTCGGCTAAGCATTTAAAAGATTTAATCTAAAAAGTCATACACAGAGAAAGGCCAACTACAAATGTTCAGAGAAGGGGGTTCAAAGCCGAAGGAGGGAAGGTGGACACCCAATAGCACTAGAAACTCTTGTGTCCCCCACACTCACTGAGGAAGAACACATTTAATGATCGGGTTTTCAGGAAGACGCTAAGATCAATGAAACAGAAATGCTTTGTTTTATTCCCTCAAATCCCTCGCTGGACATTTGTTTCTGGCATAAAGTCTGTTGGATAATGGAAAATAATGATTTTCTAGCCTTTAAATCGTGCATCAGGAACTGTTCTGAGGTTAATAGTGTCTCTAATGAGACATTTAGAAACAAAAACAGTGATTAGTTGAATTATTTTTTAAGAACTAACAATTCTCTGAAGATATGCTTCTATGATAAATTAGGTGAGGTCAAGTCATTATGTATTTAACTATACAGCTCCCTTCTGCCCATCTTGAGTACTTTTTGCCAAAGAAGACCACTCTCTCTCTCCCATTGATCTGCCTTTAGCATTCCATTACACTGAGTACCAAAACACACAGTGTCCCCAAAATGAATGCAAATTATTAGTGGACATTAGTTGTGGAATGAGGTGTGGATCTTGCCGGGAATGACCTGCACTGCTTGGGGCACATTTGGCAGGGAAGGGGGTGGATTTGACTCCATCTGATCCATCTGGGTCTATGAGCTCCACAATTCAACTCTTGGGTAGAAAACAATTCTACCGCAAAGCAGTATTCTCAACTTGAGTTAGGTTGGCCTTTGCTGCAACTTGGTTGCAACTTCAATTAGATTTTGCTCACTACTGACTTCAAATGTTTGAGTGATCTCAGGACTGGCCCTGTGGCAGGGCTTGAGATCTTAGCACCCATGAGACTCCGTACAACTCTCTAAATTTCATGGCCTGTCAACTTTTTGAGCTGCAGAGCATCTCTTTTGCTCTTTCGTATCACCCCTGGCTCTCTGCACTTTGATCTTTTTTCCTCCCTGTGGTCCTGTCCCCACCATTGGCAAGAGCTGCCCAGCCCTGGCCGAAGGTCTGGAGTGTCTCAGAGGGATTTCATTCAGCTCTCCTGTCCTGTCCAACTTCAGCACACGGCCCCTCTTCACCCAGTGAAGGCTGGGGCCAAATGGTGGTAGGAAAGTGCAACTCACTCTATAACTGGATTCTTTGGGGTCCCTATCAGTCAAGTCAGCCCACTCCCGGCCAATTCCTCTTCCTCCCACACGTCCAAAAGTGAAAGCAACTGTAGATCTCCACTCTCCTCAGAAGGATGGTCTGGATTGTAGTACATTTGGACTTCTTTGTATCCTCAGCAATCAGATAGGTTTTACAAATACAATTTTTTGTAGTTTATGTAGTTTGTTGATGCTATCTTGGTTGGAGGGAGATCAATGTCTCATGCTTTTCTACATCCTAAGTGGAAGTGAGGAGCCCCCAGTCTCCCATCTCTCTGATTCTTTACTAAGAGAGGAACATTATCTCTTACAAACTCCTTGAGAACCATTAGGGACCATTTCTATGCAGAGAATTAGATAGAACCCTACAAATTGGGGCAAATGCCACGCTATGAGAAAGACAGTGATGATGCACTGGAGCTTGGCAAGGACAAGACTAGTTGGAGAGCAGCAACTTAGAAAGATATCAGAGCACTGTACAGGAGAACTCAGGTTTCAGGTCCAGGTCTGCTCCTTCAGAATTGTGTAGCCTTGGATAAGTTAATCCCTGAGACCTCTCTTTCCTTATTGGTAAGAGAAGGTGGTTGCAAACTCAATACCAATGGAGACAGAAAGTGAATTGGCTAAATATGGATGATGGTGATTCAAAGAGCAAATTATTCTTTTAAAGGGCCCTGCTACTTAGCTCTAGCTGAGTGTACCACACAAGGGTCAGGACCTAGTGTTACCAAATCACCCAATTGCAAGTAAGCTGGAACTTATGTAAAATGGTTCCATTTTTTTAAACAAATATATATATTTGTTTAAAAATAAACAAATGACGCTCTATATTGATTTTTTACAGAGAGGAAGGGAGAGAGATAGAGAGTTAGAAACAGGGGATGTGCCCGCAACCAAGATACATGCCCTTGACTGGAATCAAACCCAGGACCCTTGAGTCCGCAGGCTGATGCTCTATCCTCTGAGCCAAACTGGTTAGGGAAAAATGGTTCCATTTTTTAAAGGTATTATTTGGCCCAAAAAGCATACATCTGGTCAGAGTATGGTTCACATAATGCGGGGATTTAGTTTTTATAGGAGGAGTATTCAATGCCAAATCGTTGTCTTCGCATTCCTAACCAGGGTGTTATAACAAGTAACAACAGAGAATGGAAATGGATTTGATAACCTACCAGGGAGAGAGATTCTGGGGTTTTGGAATGAGACATGGCGGGGGGGGGGGGGGGGGGGGGGTGGTGGAGAGATGACAGAGGGAAAGCACATTTTAAGAAAGATTAGAGCTATAAAGTAATCTGATATTGCCCTTCTTCCTTTTACACAATAAACACTCTTCTCAAAACTGCACAAAAACATTTCCTAAGGAGGCCCTTGTGATCTATTCATCAGAAGCATAGGTGGAAGGTATTCATCATAGCAGGGCACTTATTTCTAGAAACTATAAATCCTTGCCAGGAAGCCACAGCATATGATTTACAGGAAATGTGAGTTTTGTGAAATAAAAAGAGGTAATGACTGTAAAACACACTCAGTGTCACTATTCC